CAGAGACCTTCATTTGCTGGAGAAAATGCCCGAGAGAGGTATTCTGGTAAAATCTCAGGGCAAGCCTGGGAGAGGGAGCCCTGCGTCTGCAAATCTTTCCAACAGAAGTAGCAGCATCTCTGCGGCGCAGCCAGGTCCTGCATCTCATGGCAGGGGACAAACTCAGCAAGGGGAAAGGAGACTCACAGCTCTAAACAAATAAATGTGGGGGCCAGAAAGAGCACAGAGGGGGGCAGACAGCAAAGGCGCAAAGAAGAGCCTGAGCCGTGGCCACAGAGGCCACTCTGCTCTGCCTTGCTAGAAAATCTCCCGGTCCCTTGTCTCTCCCTTTCCCTGGGGAGAAATCCACCTTATCACTCCTGCTATCCAGGGCTACCCCACCCCGCAGGTGCCAACTACCCTTTCTTCCAGAAATGGCCCATCTGATACATACCTAATGCAGCCCCAGCCCGGTGCAATGGCTCACCGCTTGCATTCAGGCTCCTGAGGCTATTGCAGGTCCGAAGGAAGCCTTTTGTGCCTGCTGCCCTCCAACTCTTCCAGCTGGGGTGACAGAAGTGTGCAAACCTCAGGGCGACTCTCCTGTGCGAGCCTTAGTTGCTGTTTTCTGTGCAAGGGCAGCTAGTTTTGGAAGGCAGAAAGGCACATGAGCATTGCCATCCAGGTGCTGCCTTTGAGCCCCTTTTCATACTTTCTCTCATTTTACATGTTTGCATGGACAAAAAAACTAGGTTTCCCCCCCATCCCCTGAATGCTTAGTAGAGAGATTAACTTCCCTGCGCTGGCTGCAGGGTTTCCCCGGAGATATCCCAGGGCTTCTCCAGCCCCTCCTCCCCTCTCCAGCACTTATCCCAGGGATTCTCCCCTTCACCTGCAATTTCAGCTCAGCACAGAGCATCAGAGGGAATTTGGGCTGCCTGGAGGACTTGTCTCAGCTCCCAGAGAGGATCTTCTCCCCAGGAGCCTCGTGTGGGGCCCAGAGGGGTTGGAAACGCTGCCTTTCCTTGCACAGCCCTGCCAGGCTCTCAGGGCACGGTGGAAGAGCAAAATCTCTCCCAAAGCAACCCCTGAAAGGGTTGGGGGGGGGGAATATTTTCCCTGCCTTAGGCATCACTAGAGTCATCTCTTGGGTCCCTCCCCATGCTGCTAGGCCAGAGACCCATCTCCAGATACATCTGATCTGAGCCCATCACCCTTTTGCAAAGGGAGCAGATTCCCACACAGATGAGCCCCTCTCCCTGCTGGTCACCCAAAGGCAGCCGACGTTCGGCAGGGTGGCCACGGCATGGTCCAGGCAAGCCTCAAAACCCTCCAAGGGTGATGCTCACGGCCCCTTCCTGTGGCCCAAGGGCTGCTGCAGCCTCCTCCAAGACTTTCTCTCTTCCCACCTTTGCTGCTCCTTGTCTCAGGGAATCACGCCGGTGGCCAGGGCTCAGCTCGTGCAGTCTGAATCTGGGAAAATCCCTCAGGAAGCTCCTCCTGGAGGAGCATCGCACTTAATGATTACAGTCCTGGTTTGGGGCACTATCAACCCAAACTGTTAGTGCAGACAGTGCAAAATCCCAGCTTATCCAGCTCCTCACATACTTCCTTTTGCTGCAAGCTTCAGATGAGCTTTTTCCCCCCCTCCCCACCCCACCGCCGTCTCAGCCCTCGGGCCTGCTCGGGCCCCACGGCTTTCGCAGACTTCCTCACAACTTTCCCTTATCGCCTCCTTCTGTGCATAAAAACTCATAAATTTCAGTTTGTCCCACCAGTAGCTCAAGGGGCCCGGTTGTTCGACGGCCCCATTCGTCCTGCCTCCTTATCAAAACAGTGCCGAGGCCCCACAAAGCCAAAAAGACATCCTCCGCTTGTTTAAACTAGGAACAATTGCACACTTTATCATATCCATTGGCTGCCCTTAGCAGTACAGCCCGCGTTAGGCTCTGTGCACACGTAGCATCGTCAAGGCATGCAGTTCTTGGATGTCCCAGGAGGATGGGACCAAGAAATGGGCTGTGCCAAGAAACCCTTGGCCTCCAGAGCAGCCAAATGTGCTGTTTGCAGCCAAATTGCTTATTGGGAATAACCTCCGGCTTGGTCTAACCCCTGAACAGAGCCCAGGGATTTTGGGGGTCTCCACTAGGCTGATCTAAGCCAAAAGCACACCAGGGTCCAGGTGCACAATTTAGCAGCAGAGGCAACTGCCTAGAGATGCAGCAATGAGGTCCAAGAGGGTGGTGGCCAGGGTCTGCGGCAGGTCCTCTTTGGGCCCCACGCTGCCTCCACAGGGGGGGCGCAGAGCTGCCACTTCATCACCCGCCCCCCCGG